GTGCGGCGCCCGCCGCCTCGCCCTGCGGGGAAACGCGGCACGTCTGTATCGGTGTCATCAGGCCATCGCATCCGGTGCACCGGGGGACCCTGCTGCTGGCGTGGTGGCCTGAGCACGAAATGCCCGTGCTCTAAACTCTGCAGCTGACAAGCCGCTTTCATATATGGCGTTTCTTTACAGCTGAGGATCTTGAGATCCGAAACGACTCGCACGCAGCTGACCCCGGGGCAGAGGGGCGCGTGAGGTTTTCGGATTCCACGTTAGCCCTGGCACTTCATAGTCACAGGGCCTTTCTGTCAGTTTCCCTTTCCGTAAAAGGGTGCTAGCAAGTAGGGCCAGGAGTGTTCTTAGGACGGGGTGAGAACGTAAGCCAGAGGTTTTGTAAAAGTCCACATGGGTGTAGCTATAGTTAACAGTCTCATTAGTTGACAGTCCCTCTGCCTTAGGTGAATTCATCTTGCCCTGTTAGGTAAACTGACTTCTCTCCTCAGGGCTGAGCAGGTGGACTTGAGTGAGGCTCCAAGAGTAGAAAACAAAATAAAGCAGCGGCTGCAGAAGCAATGGTGAGAGTAGGGAGGCAGGTTCCCATGGTTTTGAAGATGAAAGAGCAAGTGAATCAGGGGCCAGTCCCTCTGAAGCTTTTAAAAAAAACTTAGTTAAGCATTCCCAGGAGTGTGGCAGACCCACTCAGGAGAGAATGATGATGGCAGCTTGGTGTGTACTGGGCACTAAGCCTCTTTGCCTATTAGCTCTTTAAACCTTTACAGTAGCCCTACAAAGTATGTATGTTATCCTCTCTGCCTGGCAGAGGAGGAAATTGAAGTACAGAGATAAGTGATGTGCCTAAGGGCACACAGTAAGGATGAGGCAGAGCTGAGGTTCTTGCCCAAGCAGCCTGTCTCCAGCATTTAGATGAAGACCTCCCGGGTCCTGGCTCCCACGGAGCTCCTTTGGCGAGGGGTTGGGGGGTGGGAACATAGGCTAATCAACACGAAAAAGGGTTGGGTTTGTAGCTGTAGCTGGAACAGAGAACCACAGCATTTCGGGTGCCGGATCTGCCAGGAGGAGGGGCTGGGGAGGTGACGTTTGAAGGCAGAGGGGGGACAGTAAGAGCAGAGGCTTGGAGATATGGAGTGATGAGCAGAAAGAATGGCAGCCCTGGGAAAGGGCCCTGGACCTCACTCCTTCCTCTTCCCTCTGCCTAGCCCTGAGGTGACACACGTGGTGATGGAGGGGACCTCAGCAGAGGAGGCCACCTGCTGGCAGGAGCACAAGACAGCATCTCTTCCCCCAGGTGGCAGCCACCCAGCACTGTTAGACATAAGCTGGTTCACAGAGAGCATGGAAGCTGGGCAGCCTGTCCCTGTGGAGGGCAGACACCGCCTGGAGGTGAGCTGGGTGGAGGGTCGAGGGGGGCCACAGAGAAACCCCAGTGCAGGCCAGAACTCAGCTGGGACAGATGACACGGCAGCAGTGCACTCGTGTCCTTCAGATGAGGTAGACAGTGAGGGCTCTGCCCCAATCGCCAGGCCATCCCTGCTTCTGCTCTCCCCAATGGTGCAAACTCTCTTGAGATCCACATATTTTTATTTTTAGCATCTTTAGGCCTTTCTTACCACCAAGTGGATGAGACTGTGGCTCCAAGTGAGATGACCCGAGGGCCAGCAGGAGGTCATCCTCAGGGCCCTGGGAGGTTCATGGCCTCTGCCCCACTTGAGTGTTTACCGGGCCAGCACAGCTGGGGGGCTCAGGTGTGGCCTCGGAGCTGGGCTGCCCACACTCAAATCCTGGCTCTGCTGTGAGCCATGAGGCCTCGGTGTCCCCATCTGTGAGGTGGGGATGACAGGCACTCCTAGCCCATTTGATTGGGAGGATTTCGGGAGGTGGAGCACGTGCAGCATGTGTAGCAGCAGGAAAAATGCCCCGCGGGGGAGGCTGGTCATGCCACCACTGCTGCTATGGCCGGAGGAGCCTAGCCTTGGCCGGCTGTGCAGGGCAGCGCCACCTCTGCCCCAGGCCTCTGCTGGCTTTGCCCTCTCAGAGGCTTCTCCTTCTGTCCTGGGAGCCCTAGGTGACCACCCAGGAGAGGCAGGGCTCTGGGGGCTGCCAGATCCCCTGCCAACCCTGCGGCCTGTCCCTTGCCCATCCCAGGTGGCTGTGCCCATGAAGGTGCTGCCAAGCCCAGCATGGATACCGCCCTATGCCTGCCAGCGCCCCACTCCCCTCGCACACCACAACACCAGCCTCTCGGTGAGCCGTGGGTCCCCCGCCTCTGTGGAACGGGGCCAGGCCCTCCTCTGTCCCAGCCTTGGAGGGTCCCT